AAAGTAGGGATCAAGGAGACTGTACTGAGGAGCAAACAGTCTTCTAGAAACTTGCTTTCTTTCAAGTGCTGTTTTGGAATCCCATCAATCCATGCACTCATCCTCATCATCTTCGTTCTCAACATGCCACAGTGTTGGGGAATCTCCACTACAAAGAGTTCCTGCGGGTGTCTCGGAGGATCTCAGTTACTTAGTCACACAAATTCTCATTTCAAAACCATCCCACCAGCTGTGGGCCAACAGAATGTGTAGAAAACAGGATGACTACTGATGCACAAGTATTTCAGAAGAATGAAAAAATGATAAAAATAATAATTTTCAGAATTTTATTCTCTTAATGGGTCTTTTGTAAATTTGTTTTTTTTACATTATTAGTAACATTTTACAATAAGGTAACTAACACTAATAATGAGCTATATATTTGCTTCAGTGTTTATTAATCTGTGTTAACTTTATTTATTTTTATTTTTTTTTAAAGTTCATTGTTAGTTCATGTTAGCTCAGGTCCATTAAATAATATTAACAGATACAAGTTTTGATTTGAATTATGCAATAGTAAATGCTGAAATTAACATTAACTGAGATTAATTGCTGCTGTAGAAGTAGTAGAAGTAGTAGAAGTTTTTTAATTGTTAGTTCATCATAACAAATATAGTTATCTAATGTTAAGTTAATAGAACCTCATTGTTAAGTGTTACCACTTTAATGAATTTCGATTCAGAAATTAAAAACATGATCATGGTGTATTCAAGTCATTGCATGTATGAATAGCATTTTAATATTTTTTATACATAATTATATAGGACAAAAAATAGCATCATTTTATTGACCCTAACAATATCATTATGAAAGAGTACCATATTGTTTCTGCATTGCTTCTTTTTTGTTTGCTTGAGTAGGCAAGAAGCAATAGGGTTTTGGCTCAATTTATTGAACTTTCTGCGTAGACTGGCGAGGTTCCCTTGCACAATACCTCTCTCTGTTGGCCACTGTGCTCAAAAAACAAGTCTGAACTTAGACATTTCATCCCTGTCCAGCAGATACGCAATGGGCCCATCATGTGCCGCTGTATGTTTCCCTTTCATTTTCTTTCTGCATGACACAGGTCCACAGATACACCACTGACCTCTTCCACTAATAAATAATCATATAAACATATCACCTTCACTGCCAGCCGGGTGCATCAATTGGCCTCGATGAGTGAATCTGAGAACAGAGGGGCCCCCATGGTGCCCATGGTGTCTGATTTTGCACTGTTAGGCGGTGTTATTTTAGCCGGTGTTTGACTTTTGTGGCTGAGACTAGACCTTAGGTTTAGGTTCTGCCCTTCTGCCAATGTTGTTAGCCTCATTCAGAGCCACCCTCAACATATTAGATGACTCTTTGCTTCTTAGCTTTTGGAAATAACATGGCTGAGTGTCCCCACCTGAAGTGTTTTGCTCAGAGAAGCATCTGATTCCACTCTGAGGTGGAAACTTTTGGGCTTCAAGTGAATCTCTTTTGATTGAGCAGCATGGAAGTGTGTTTGACTTACTAAATGAAGAGGTTCACCAGCGCATAAAGCAGCATGATGATTTTGAAAGTGTGCATCTCTTCAGCCCACAGTTATATAACAGACAATTAGCTAGTGTTTTCACTCAGCCACAGCTTTCAATGGGCACCACAGTGAATGAGGCTCAAGGGATCTTTTGAAAAACATATATATAAAATCTATACACATAAACGGCATAAAAATAACATAAAAACCTATCCTTAGGAAGAAAAAAACAACAACCCTGCAATATATTAACCTAACTAGTTTATAAACTGGGGTCTCTCACCTCTAGTGACCTGCAAAAATAAATAAATACAATTAAATAAAATATTAATTCATATGTAAGCTGGGAGTATTTAGCCAGTGTTCAGTACTGCAAGGCTTTAGGCCTTGTGAGCAATGTTATTAATCCGTGTGAGGAATGACAGCAAGTAATGTGTGAACAAACACTCAGAGCATGACCTTTGACAAAATAGGTTGGAGAGCTTCCTTTTTGGGAACTCACACTAAAGTACAGAATTAGTTTTTTACTTATAAGTGGCTTGCAAGGCATAAATATTTGCATACTGATTAACACTGGCTGCAGTGCAGAGAAGCGCTTTTAGTTACACATCACATTTCTCTGTGGTGTGAATGCCTGTTCACACCAAGAACGATAAATATAACTATAACAATTGTGATTAGTGTCCACACCAATGCACGATAATATTCTGTTTATTATAAGTGCACTACAGTTATGTCGTGTGCCACTTTAAATGCTTGAGCAAGGTGGATTCTGATTGTCTGTCACTGTTTTTATCATTCATCAGCTAGAACAAATTGTTCTGAAAGTGATTCCAACCATATAGATATTTCATGTTGTTTTGTTATAGTTATGGTGTGAACTTCTCTATTCTAATACAGTTAGAACAATTATTAAAACTTTACAAATATTGTTAGTTACAGGCACTCTGCACAGATTTTTATTTTTATTTTACTACTGAAAGAGAATGGAGGATGCTGGTAATATGGCTTCAGAAAACATAGTATAACACACAAATCATTCATGATACATTTATGATCCTTTTTTGTAATTTTGATGCTTGACAGACCTAGACTTCATTCAGGTTTAGATCAACATGAGGGTGAATAAATAAAAGTGCAGGAGACTAAACTATACGTTCACACACAAATGCCACTTATGTACTGCAAGCTATCACAGGAAACCGTTGGGACAGCATGAGAAGGAAACCAGTGCTTTCATAGTGTAGCCCAGTGCTTTCAAGCGTATCCCATCAACACCACAAGAAGGTAAAGAATTTAGTGCAAGCAGCAAGAAGTAATAAAATGCAGGGACAACAAAAAGGCAATTCTTTGTACTCACAGTGTACCTAACAGTGTCCTCTCCACATGACGTGTTTTGATCCTGAAAGGGTGTTACTAAAGTGTTTGACATACGAAACCCTACAAAACATAAAAACATCACCACCACAGTCGGCCTCAGAGCCGTTGAAAGGTCCCCGGTCCAATCAGATCAACTGCTGCATTAACACCTCATTGAACTGCTGGGTGGGAATGACTGACACGCAACAGGAAAGAACTCTGTGTGAAAGCACACACTGCTCATAAACATCATCTCTCATTAATAATAAGTTCTATGCATTAGTAAGATTCCCACAATGGAATAAGTCTTGTCTAAGTAAAAGTCTAAATAAAAAGGCTCAATCTCCAATTGCTCAAGTCATCACATCACTGTAGATACTGTTAGAAGATAGTTACCATGGAAACACAATGTCCCGAGACTCAAACTTGTGACTGCATATGCACATAGACTGGACCAACCTGGAGGAAAAAAAAAATGTCTGAGGTATGTACACCGTAAGCCTCACTAAATAAATCATTGTCTGTGTCAAAACATATATATATATATATATATATATATGTTTTGACACAGACAATGATTTATTTAGTGAGGCTTACGGTGTACATACCTCAGATCTTTGAAGCCGTTTCCTGGTGTGTGAGATTCTTAATTGCAGCCAGTTTTTACTAAGGGAGTAATGCAAAACGGTGTCCTCTCTGCTCCCTAAGGAAAACCTCCAACAGTGAGGTCTATGGAAAGATCATATCATCATTTAAAGCTTACTACATATTTATTTAGTTTTTAATTTCATATAAATATTCATAATAACTCAAAGGGCTTGTAAACATTTGTTCAGTCTCACAAATCCTTTTTTATGGTGTATTTTTGGTTTATGGTGCTTCTAAGTGCCCGCTTTTCAGGACTGTGCTATAGCTTTTAGGAGCCAACGTTTTCCATTAATACGATGCTTGGAAGTCCCGCTTGGCATGTGGTCATCGCTTTCATCAGCCAGACGGTTCAGGGTGACTGGCAACTCCTTTACTCTGGCACTGTCTGTAGGAGTCTGAGACTGTTCAAAGCTGCAGCCAGGCACAAGGGGAGACTTGTTCCCATCCACTTACTGACCTGAGACCAAACATGAAGCTCCCATAGACTGCAAGGGAGAGTGAAATCAAAGACACGATTCTGCCACCTTCGCAAAGTGTTGCACCGTTGAACGTTTGGGTCAGACATCTCTGCTGAGAAAAACTTTGGCCGGCAGTAAAGCTAAGCTCCTGCAAATCCTCTTAAGAAATCTGTAGCTGTTGGGTGACAAACAAGTAACTCACTCTATATGTTACATCTAAATGTTCTAGTTGTAAACAACCTACAAGATGTGTTATGAATAAAAAATATATACAAAATCCAAATCTGTAATTTGAACCATGCTTTTTTAAAAAGAAGAATGTAAATGTTTTTTGTAGATATTTTAAACAATTAAAAAAGAAAAAAATCATAGTACCATTTGCTTGTACTGTATGTTTCTAAAGCGTATAAATACTATAAAAACTTTTAGTATAACATTTTTTTATACATTTAAAAAAAAAAAATACTAAGCTACAAAAAATATATAGATAAATACACGTACTACTCAAATACACTGCAAAAATGATCTTACTACTTTTGTCATTTTCCAATACAAATAACTAAACATTCTTAAATTAAGATACACAAATAGTGAAGAAAAATTACTTAAGATATTCAGGCATTTTCTGAAAAATGTATCAAAAATGAGTTTATGATTAAAACAAGAAAAATATTTATCAAGTAGATTTGTTTAATGCCGCTGACAGATAACCTCTTTTACAGTGTAGTTTGTTATGTAGCATGACTTTCATTTTATTGCATTTCTCATCATATTATCAATGGTCATTAAATTTATTGCATTTCTCATCATATTATCATACGAAACCATCTTAAGAAATGTATAAAGGACTCTACAATTCATGCAAGAGGCATGCAGGAAGATGGGGAACTGGAGACAAAATCTGTATACTTATACACCCCTAGCATCATGCATCCGTCCATCTCTCCATACTTTTATCCCAGTGCACACATTATTCCAGCACATTAGACTGTCAGCTTGAATCCATTGACTACTGCAAGTATCAACAGGGATCTGCTTGTCTTGCCCACGGAGCAGCTGAGGTATACACGACCTGACACTCGCACAGAGACTCGTCTGAACGCCTGGAGAAAAGGGAAGAGAGGGAGTCAGTCTTACATGAGGTCTATGGCGAGGTCACAGATTAAAGAGGCACCCACAGGCCTCAAATGGGAGTAAAACTGGAAGTATATGTTATATGAGGGTCCAAGCTGTTTCAACAGAATAAGATCAGGTGTTGAAATGAATTCGTTTGAGACCGTCAAGCTTTGCTGGAATGCAGCGTTTGCGTGTTAAACTTAAGTCTGGGATTTCATGTCTCTTTAGATGTTTCTTCAAATAACAAAACATCTATGTAGGTAGGAATAATTATTTGAGAATTAATTTCTTTGTAATGCAATTCAAAGGCTGAAAAAGTAAAAACAAAAAAATCACAATGTTGTACACCATCTAAGGAGTTGGAAGAGATTAAAAAACCCTGGCAACTCCTCAAAAAAGACATATCTGATACTGTTTTTTGCATGTTAGGTTTTGATCTGTATGATGTAAACTCTTCAGGCTCTTGTAGGTTTGTGCAGCGCTGCAATCTGGAAAGATTTTAATTATACACATATCCTTTCCTGGCAGTACATCTGATCGAAACAGTCATACCTACCAAAGGAGGTATCGTTTACGGACAGCAGAGGGGTTTTCCTTGGCCGTTTCATGCAGGATTATATGAGGATATCAGCCCACAGTCCCTGAGCAGCATGTACCTGTACACAGATTTCAATCTTAGGGTCATTATCATTGTCACTGGGAAACATTTCTGGAATGTTTTCTCCCCTCTGGCCCATGAGGCCAGATTACTGCAGACCTAACATGATGCTCTACGTTCCCCCAGCAGATCCAGTGAGCTTTTGAAGAAAGACTTCAAAAACTGGAGAAACATTCCTTACTTGTTGTTGACTACAATTAGATGAAAAGAGTTCTCTTGTCTATTGGTCCTTAACACGCGAAGTTGAGACACTCGCTGTCTCTCAGGATTGTCGGACCAGTATTATGGAAACAACAAGTGCAGCGTTGCTGTCACTTAAGAATGAACAAATATTAAAGATTGAGACTGAAATCGGATACCAATCTAAAAACAAAAACCTTTGACCAATTTCTCACGCCAATCAACAGAATAATCTTAACCACAGCCCTGTCTAAAATCCTTTAACTCTATTCTGTGTTTTTGTGTGTGCTTAGCTTTAAAGGAATAAGTCAAACAAAATGAAAATTCTGTTATGCCATTATGTCTTCATATTTTTTCAGTGGAACAGAATAGTAGAACATTTTGAACAATGACAATGTTTAAATATATTTTAGAACAACACTAAACAAAAACAAACTGTGGTACGTCTTACAGTTGTAAGTGGTATGAGTTTGGTTCATTAAAAAGAATCACCTCATAGGAGTCATTTGTTCTGTAATCGGACTACACTGGTCATGTTTTATGTTTTTGATGAAAAAAAAAAAAATCTTTAGAGTGATTTGTTCAGGAATCACACTACATTGGTTCCACTGTACAGTATGTGTTTGATTCACTAAAAACAACCCAGTTCATAATATCATTCACTCAAACTTGAACTACACTGATCACACTGTATGTTTTCGATTCAATAAAATGTATCGCTCATAGAAAACCCCAGGCTGCTGACTTCAACACTCTGCTTGCCTCATTTGTCCTCAAGCGAGTGTCTACTACAGCTACTCACAAATCAGGTAACCAACTGGACCTTATCTACACACGCTACTGCTCCACTGACAACACTTTAATTACTCCATTGCACACCTCACCTCAGACCACTTCCTCATCACTTTTAACCTCAAACTGACTCCTGACACAACACAATTCTCTGCAGTTCACCTTTTGGCGTAACCTATGCTCACCCTCTCCCTCTCGCCTATCCTCTATGGTTTCATCCTCACGTCCTCCACCCTATCAGTTTTCAGCATTGGACACTAACACTGCTACTGACACTCTTTGCTCCACTCTAACATCTTGCTTAGACAATCCTTCTGCCCCCTGGCTGTCCGATGTTCTCCATGAACATCACTCACTTGTACAGTGTTGCTCTCTTGTTGGTCTGAGTGCTTCTATTCTTCTCCTCATTTGTAAGTTGCTTTGGATAAAAGTGTCTGCTAAATGATTAAATGTAAATGTAATAAAATGACTATATAATATCCGAAAATGAACCTGGAGAGATCTCTGCTTTGTTGTAATTACATGTAAATGTAACAAGAGTCTGACTTATAACAAGTGCTCTGGATCTTCATAGTGGCATACTGCAGATATTGTGCCAGGGGCCACTACATTGTTAGATGATATCAATATCAACCACCTAAACCTCTAAAGGAAGCTTGGGCCACATCTGGTCATTCTCATGACGCTTAAAGTCTAGAAAGAAATTCAAAAATGCAATAAAATTGACTGAGGTTATTCTTTTCAAAACAGAGGAATTAGCATGTAATTTTTCTTGCATGTGCAATGCAATATTTCAGTGAATGAAAACATACTTATTCCAGGAAAGAATACTCTGTCCATAAAATTATTTTTCTGATTGAAAATGTTTACATGACCCTTGTGGCTACTTCGGTGATTATGAGATGGATTTTGGTGTTGTTTCCCAGTGCTTTCTTGATCCATTACAAACAAAGGTTTTTGGTAACCGTCTACACGGAGAGTTTTTTAAACTCCTCCTGTTTGAGATGTCGGGACTCCATCTGTTTCTGTGCCACTGTGCTTTGAGAGTCTACTCTATTTTAAACCGAAATGTGTATTTTCCCCAAATAGTTCTCTGCAAATGTACCCAAATAACATTGCAATGTAGCCTTTTGCACTTTCACGTTTCCATTTGAACATACTTTAGCCATACCACTCTTCCTTGTGCTCTGACATGTTGTGTTCACAGTGTGTGTGTGAGTGTATGTGTGTGTGCTCTCCCTCATTCCCCTGAACTCAGTGGCTCTCTGCATAAAGGTATCTTTGTGATGGCCTAAGGTCTAAAGTCATGCAAGGGGGGCCAGCAGTTGCAGCTGCGCTACTTTCCTTGGCTGACCTGATTTTTCAGACCCTCTAACACCACAGACAGCCCAGTTATGCAAACACGTCAATCAAAATACTCCTGCCCCTGTGGAAAAACAGACTGCTCTAAAAAGTTATGTTATCTCTTCCCAAAGGCACTGTGAGTACTAAGCTAGGAAAAAGGGTAAAGTCTGTAGTTTCAGTACCAGTTGTTTTTCTTTAAAGGGGTCATATGATGCAATTTCAATTTTTCCTTTCTCTTCAGAGTGTTACAAGCTCTTGGTGCATAAAGAAGATCTGTAAAGTTGCAAAGACTAAAGTCTCAAATCCAAAGAGATATTCTTTATAAAAGTTAAGAGTCAGCCACACCTACCTAAAATGGCTCGTTCTAACACGCCCCCACATATCTACATAACTATGTTGTAAGATTTGCATAACGCCGCCCAAATGTTCACGCAAAGAAAGAAGGCGTAACTTTTATTCTCGGTATTGTTGTTGCCACCGCCATGTCGTGAAGGCGCTGTGTGATTCGTTGTGAAAGCGAAACTACTTTGTTTGGCCTTCCAAAAGAGGATGATATCTGCTTCGTCATGCCTGGAGCTGATCCGTGCTGGTTGCTGAGGAAATACTACAACTTTGCGCTGTGGATCGCCGGATCGGCTTTCACCGTGGACGAAGTGGAGTCCAGCCCGGGGTCGTCACATGTGGTTGCCGCAAGCCCGCCGGACGCTCCTTCGTCGAATCCGCCACCTCTGCTCACTCTAGCCCTCTGGCCGTTCCTCATGCTAGCCCCCGGCTTCTGCTCACTCTAGGCCGCTGCCGCTCACTCAAGGCCACCGTGTGTGACGCTGTGAAATTTTTGGAAGGCCAAACAAAGTAGTTTCCAAAACTGGACACGACTAGAAATCAGTGGTTAAGTTGTATTTACAACACTGTTCCAGAACACTTCAACCCAAATATTCAGATGTGTGCAGCACATTTTATGGACGACCTTTCCTGATCCTGGGAGAGTAGACTACAATGCCGGCAGTTCTGACTC